ATCTAAAATCTTATAGAGCTTAATAGAAAATTCCAAATAAAACACAAATCCACAAGAGACACGCGGTAGAATTACTGATTAACATGAAGTTCTCAGTCATAGAAGTCATAAGGTTAAAATCACAACAAAATTACAATTCAATTTGTATCCAAATGGCACATTAAACTAATATAGCAGTAATCCATACGTCTCATGCTCATTATTCCAAGTCTCCAGAAGCCATACGATAGCATTGTGTGAAATTTCAGTTGTTAATAACTAAAAATAAAACAAAAAGTTTGAATGTGGTGTGCAAGCAAGAACATGTGTTTGTTTACACACGTGAGCTGTTTGTGAACTTGTTAAACACCATGTAAGTAGAAAGAAGGCGGAGCATAAGAAAGGCTCTTGTGTGTATCGTCAAAGCGGTAGAGTTTAATGTGTGAGAATTTGTCATTTTGTCTAGGTGGCGCAACTCACACAACTACCATTAAAATATTGGATTAGCACTAGTGAAAATATTTCCATAACCATCTTTCAGAGAGGGAGATGCACAAGATTGAAGTTACAGGAGTTTATCATAATTTTCAAAAATGTACTCCTTTAAAATGTATAAATGTGTTTTATGATGTAAAATAAAATACATTATGAGTTGATTTAACTGTTTCTGCGATAAACACTTACATGGGGAACCTGCTCCACCATGTGTTGCACAGGGATAGTCATGTAGTGTTGTGTGTTACAAGTCCCTCTTCACAACTCTTTTCTTGTTAAACTTGATCTCTAAGAACTTGCACAGAGCTTCCAGTGAATGGCTGTAAGCCAGTGTACATCAAGAGTGTTCCTTGGCTGCCAAATCAATGAGAACAGTTCTTGACATGAAAGTCACAAGAGAGCACGTTTTCCTCTGAATTTGGGCCTTTTGGCCTCCAGTGTTGAGTACAAACAGCAAGGTACAGCAAGCCGCACTCCATCAGTCATTTTTACAGCTTTGTGTAAGACTATGCAGAGCCATTAGTCTTACACATTTGTGTTATTGACCTTACAGCCATTGATTCGCTCCACACTCTACTACTACTACACAATAAACTTCCTGCTGTGCCCTTCTAGAGAGAAATACATCATGGTTACATGTTTTGGTATGAGAAAACAGTAAGGGGCGTTTTAACATACTTTTATGGCAATTTGTGTCTGTTTTGCATTTTGGCAAATTGGTTGCCAAATTTAGGGTATGTTTACACAACAATGATGTACTAAACACTGCGTTTTTGAAAAGTTTCGCATACAGAAGAAAATGTGCACACGGATCACATGGATCCTCGAAAGCAACTAAAAATGCTGTATGCTAGTCTAGTAGTTGGCAATGCTACTTTAGTAAAGAAACATTACAAGCCTGTGCATATACCTAGACTGAGCTTATAAATAAGCTTGCGTATGAAGTCACTGTTTTCACAAATCACAAATTTCACAAATTCAAAAAAGCATTTTTGTAATTTACATGGAGACAATAACGGTATCATTTCAGTTTTCAAAAGTTTGCGTTTTCAGGCCCCCAAAATGCCATGTAAATAAAATGCCCGTTTATATGAATTTGTACAATCTCATATATGTTTTTATACAATCTGCTTAAGGCCCACTGACGGTTAATACGAAATTGCCACCTTTGTAAAATAGTTTTCTCATGATATCAGGCTTGGTGTTTAGGAACACTTTTGTAAAACTCTCATGCAAGGGTTTTTTTCCATTATTAATTTAAGAGAGATATTTTGATAAGGTATATGCATCAAAATACATTAAACATATAGGGGTGTTTCTTTAGCTATATAAGCACTTTCTGTCTTTTGTTGACTTTAAAAAATTGTGTAAAAATTGATAGAAATCATTTAATCAAAAACATGTATACATACAGTACACATTTCTATAGTGGATTTACATGTTTTAAGAAAAAAGGTGAAACGTTTATAACCCAGGACAGCCCACAGAAACACCCATATTCACCTATACACTTTGTGCTAACAAGGTGACAGCTGTAATGTGCATTTTTTCCAAGCAAGAAAAAATTTCAAGACCATAATAACGTTCAGTGACAGCAAGAAGCAGAAGTACAGTTATTTACTTGTGTTTAAAAGGTCTGAAGCCCTATTATGAAACAGACCACAGCCGCTTCAGTATGTTTTATGACTCGTTTGCTCTCGTAAAAACTCCTAATCCCAGCAATCATCCCCACGTGCAGGGATGTTTTGGCAGAGTCTTTGTGCACTGCTTGAGAGCCTTTCCTCCTTTCTTTAACTTGATACACACAGACACACAGCCTGTTCTTCCAGTGGATCTGTCACAACTGATAGAAGTCCAAATCTCACACCAGAATATTCATTGTGATAGTTCCATTGATGTTTTTATATACTGTTTTTTTGCGCTTATTGTGTCCCAATCACAGAATAAGACAATAAAAATGTAAAATTTAAACATAAAACCGGTAGTGTGATTTGGGGGCAGGATTACTTGTTGCTCCAACCAATGGAAGGCGGGGGACTGTTCTGGCAAACTTTTTTGAAAACATTATTTTTGCAATCCATTGAGGCTTATGTTGGATGGATGGATGAAAGATGGACAGATGGACAGATAGATAGACAGACAGACAGACAGACAGACAGACAGACAGACAGATAGACAGACAGACAGACAGACAGATAGATAGATAGATTTTTTAATGATCATCTCTGCTGTTTTATTACTTAAATTCCTATATTCAAACAGCAATGCAGTAAAAACAGTGTTTCTTCAGTTCTCTAGCCAATGGCACAGCAGATGTACTTTTGACTTTCTCTGTTGGAGTCCATCTCTCAATACTGAAGCCGTCTAATGAAGAAGCTCCTGAACCCTGCAGGCATATCATTCATCACCCCACAAATCACTGTAAAACTACATGCTTACAGCCATGATGACTTTATGTCACATAAATGACTGGAATCAGGGACAGCATCTTGTTACACAGAAGGTGCTTCTCAGCTTCGCCTTCACTGCCATTACTTGCCTCCAAGTTAAGTTAGATAATATAATGTGGTCTTTGTGGTTCATTCAGAATATTTATAGAAATTACACTCAATTACAGGAATTCATAGTGAATAGAAAATAATATAGGCTACTCATAATCGCTAGTGTAAATGTTTTTGTTTTAATGTGTCATAATAATATTTTGTGTAATAAAATTATTTTTACATTTTATTTGTATTACAGTAAATAATATTAAATGTAAAATATTTTAGTAATAATATTATATTTTATAATAATTTGTAAAAAAAAATATTTTGACTGGTCTGCAACAGCAACACTGACTCTACAATGGTGTGAGTCTGGGGTGGAGCTACTTCTTTTTTGACCAATGGCAGGCAGGGGGAGTGTCTTTGGAAAATCCTGTCTAGAAACAGTGCTTCTTTTTGCAGTTCCAGTCGTAATGGACTGTTTTATAAGATTATCCAGATCTGGTTGGATTCTGGACTGTAACTATTGTATTGTACTCAAGCAAGTTTCTCCTAAGTCATCTCTCCAAACATGAGAAATCATGTTTGCTCTGCAAAAATGTCCCCATGCTAAAGCACACGCATGGAGAATAATAGAACACATGTGTGAATCTGCAAGTTCAGCCACAATACACAAGACTTTCTCTGTAGCAGATGTGTGGAGAAAGAAATGGCCTTTAATCTTGTCCTTATGCTGTAAGTGCAAGTCAGTTGTTGTTGGCTCACTGAAGATGAACTGGGATCCACTAGCATGACATTTCCACAAAGAACTGCTAAAGGAGATAGGCTGAAAGCTGGTAATAAGGTTACATAGAAATCACTAATATAAATAATAGCAATGGCAAAAAAGCAATGCAGGTTTACTTGCTGTTCCATAATGTAAATATCAACTTGAATATTAATGTTACATATTAAGTAGATTAAAGTCAAAGTGATTTTCATTACTCACAGATCTTTCTCCTGCACTAATATTGAGGAATGAAAAGGTTCAATGGATGTTTTCAAAACGGTTGAGAACAAGGTAATTATTAACTGCCAATGAGTGTTATTTTAGTATCATCGAGATAAGCATAGTTTTTATGAATATTTTGAATTTTTTTATTTTATATTTTTCATTTTTAGTTAAAATTTTGTTGTTTTTTATGTCTATAGTTTTTATTACTTTTTATTTCAGCTGTATTTATTTTAGTATATAAACAGATGAACTATGAAAGTGTGAAACTAGAAATAAAATACATTTGGGATTTTTATTTTATTTCCATTAATATTTTATTTATAGTGACAGAAATGTTTCTTTATGATTTTAGTTTTAGTGGATCATTTGGATAAATATTTGGTATGATTTAGCAGCTTCCATTTTAGACCAGTGCAAATAATGGACAGATTGGATGATAGTGTGTCGCATTCAGTTTAAAGAGTGTATATACTATCTAAAACAACTTGTTTATCCTCCCAATGAAGTCTGGGGATTCAGATTGTCTATATTAAGGAGCAAAGCTTTACTCCTTTCAAACATGAAGACATCCATATGTCTTTATGTAAAGGCATGCATGCTGCTACATAATCCCCTACGTCAACGTACGTGTTTCTTTGTTAGTTTTGGCATTCACTTCATGCAATTTCTGACATGCTATTTATTTGAAAGCAAGAACATAAAGAGATTAACGTTTTTAGCTCGTACTAAACTCAAGATGAATAGCAAATTGATAGCAGAATGTGTGGAGACTGAGAATCAGTAAATTCAAAGGTGACTTTGTACTTACAGTGGTTGGTGATGACTATTATCATTAGGCTCATCATTAGCAGTCAATGGCATCATATTCATGAAGTATATGATGAGAATGACTGCTAATGATGGGCCTAAAGGTCACAGCGCAATGTCCCAGGACAGTTCACACTGCTGTTCAGTATTTTATATGATTCATCAACTGAAATAGTTGCACCACAGATGAAACAACAACAACAAAAAAAGTATTTGGAGATAAACACAAGGTGCTATAATCAGAAAATATTTAATTTTATTCTTTAACTGCATTGAAGCTGATTTCAATGTGATGATTTGAAAAATCAGAAAAAAAAAGAAATAAAGTCTATTAAAAAAAGAAATTAAAAAAAAAATGTAGACGTGAACAAATTCCTAAAAACTGAACAGAAAATTAGAAACAGATGGAAAGTTACAAGCTGCATAATTTAAAGTGAACTCAACAGCCAAAGCTTTGCTGATCCTTACAGATAAAATCGCATTCATGTCTCTGAATGCAAGCACCACAAAATATCATGTGCACGACAAGCTCAATGTCAAGGCTCATACAGTATATATATTCAAAAATGAACAATATAAACAGCTTAAAAAAACAAACAAAAATGACCAATGTCTCTCTTTATAACTACCACCATTTCAAGTACCCCTTGAAGTGGGGTGTGTGCCACACAGATCCAAGATATTACTGCGTTGGTTTCTAATGTGTAAACATTCAATGCGGTTTGTAGTAAAAGTGTATTTGCAGGACAAACACACTGTTCGACAACACTGTCTTTCACTTTAGCTGGATCTTCAGGTACAGTGAGCCTCCATTCATCTCACTGTCTGGGTCTGGAGTGAGGCCTGACCAGTCTCACGCTTCGCCTTGATCCTATGTTTCAGTCCACAAACACACACATATAAACAAAGCTGATATAAACTACACATCTATTGTTCATTTTCCTCTTTGTATTATAAAGGTCTGGATTATGGTAAAGTTGGGTGTGAAGACAAAAGGTGCTACGTTTGTACTGTACATGTTTTAAATCTCAATTGATATAAAAAAAAATAGCAATAAAATGACTTTAAGAACACATCAGATGTAAATGAGCTGAAACACAAACCTTGTGGTTGTCTGATGGCAGCTCGTTTTTTAGAACGGCCCTCTGAGAAGAAAAATAATTCAATTAAACCTTGGGCATTAGATCCATCCTCATATTATGCACACAGAATTATGAAGCCACTAACCCTTGATGATTCTGGTGATTCTCTCTGATTCTGATTCGAGGAGGTCTGAACTGTCCTTGAAAGATACAATCTTTGAGAAATCTGGTCCTAAAAGAGTAAAAAAGAAATACAAAAAAAGAAAAAAAGAAACAAATTCAGCATGTATGCAAATTTTTATATAATATTAAAGCAGATATGATCAGATATTTGATTTTTAAATATGATTTTTGTAATTATAATTAAAGTAGCTGAAACCAAACCAATCAATCATTTTATGCATAAAACTTTATAATGTACAGTAATAAAAATTGATATTCATTCGTTTTTGAAGATTGTAAAAATAGGTGAAATTACACACACACACACACACACACACACACACACACACACACACACACACACACACAGGTTTGTTTTTATGGTTTATGGGGACTCTCCATAGGCGTAATGGTTTTTATACTGTACAAACCGTATTTTCTATGGCCCTACACCAACCCTACCCTTAAACCTACCCCTCACAGGAAACTTTCTGCATTTTTAGATTTTCAAAAAAACTCATTCTGAATTATTTATAAGCCTTTTGAATTACGGGGACACTGAAAATGTCCTCATAAATCACCTTCTCGTTGTAATACCTATGTCATACCCATGTTATTATACAAATTTGTGTCCTCATAAATCACATAAACATGCACACACACACAAATCTCTAGAATCAGAAGTGTAAAATCATTTCTTACCTTCAATGATCTGCGGTTCTGGTTGAATCACTCTGGTAATAGTGGTTTCCCCTGGTGCAACTTTGAGCACAAAAAGATGAACATTTGATTTGGTCTGAAAATTTAAAGCACATCATATCACTATTTGATATATTGAGTCTCACTTTCAATGATCTGAGGGTCTTTCTTAATTACTCTGGTCAAAGTGGTGAGCCCTGGTTCAGCTTCAAGCAAAAAGAGAAGTCAGAAATGTCAGTGACACAAATATCTGAGCAAAACTTAACTCACATCATATCATCATTTGATTTATTAGGTCTTACTTTCAACAACCTGGACCCCTGGTTTGATTACTTTAGTTATAGTGGTGATCCCCGGTCCACCTTTGAGAACAGGGAGACATGAGAACAATAGATGAACAAAGCTCTGGTTCAAAGTCAAACCAGCCCTAAGCCAAATCAGTGAGTAATAGTCGATAATGAAAGCCTTAATCTGACTTTAGCTGTGCTGCTTAAAGGTTCTAAAACTGATTCTTTCTTTTAGCTGAATCATAAGTGCCATCTTGCCAAGAATTAATCAAAACCATAGAGTATGGACTTAAATCAAGAACATCTGCAATAGAGCCATGTGTGTGAGCCATGGGAAAACCAACGGGGCTTTATTCTGTTACGTAACTAGAGATTGTAATCCATGGGCATAAAATTAGATGGACAAAAAACATTAAACATTACTAAACAAGGACGAATCACCACGTTCACAGCTGCTCTCAATAAAAATGTCAAGCTCTTTAGGAAGCTACAAAAGAGAGATCCCAAAGCCCTTCAAAATCATAAATCAAATTAATGTTTGAATCAATGGCATAAAAAACAGTACAGGAAAGAACATGATCATTGCATATGCCAAGGATTATGGGTAAAAGTGTTTGGCAGGAGAGAAAGATATATCTGAAAAAATGTGTGCTAAAGGGGAAGATTTAAGAACAGTCTCTTGGATCAAATGTAAATGGCTCCCCTATTCAATGTCAATGAGTTTGATCAACCTTTATATACAATTGTATCCAAGTCAGTGTTGTTGTTGTTGTTGTTAACTAAAACTATTGAAACTGGTTTTCATTAACTGAAATAAAGCTGAAATAAAATAAACTATAAATGAATTAGATGAAGCTTAAAATTAAAAAAACTTAAATGAAAATTAGAAATGGTGCCTTTGCAACAATCTAAAATAAAATAAGTTAAAAGCACTAAAACAGAAATAAAAATAAAAAGCTAAACTAAAATAGAAAAGCACATAACAAAATTACTAAAACTTAAACTAAATTAAAATGAATTTCAAATTTAAAAAATACTTTAATAATATATAAATAATATTAAAATAACACTAAAATAGAGTATACAATGCAGTAAATGTCAGATAAAGGACAACTTTTATCATTTCAGCAGCAGTGAGGCTTGGATATAAGCATTTATTATTAATATGTCAACTATAACTCTCTTGGACCAACCTCCTTGAGTGATCGCATCAGTGATTTGTTTCATATCTTCCTCCTGGAGGATTCGTACATCACCACCTTGAAACGTCTGCACCTTGGTTATATCTACAACACATAGACACACAAGGTTTTAATGTTTTATCAGACAGAATATCAAAAACTACTTTGTTTATAGCCATTCGGAACTAAACTGTATTGGTAACTTGTCTATTTTCTTTTGAGAACAGACTTGAACATGCTGAGTGTCTCTTTCTAATCCAGTTCTTACTGTACTAGAATCAGTTTTCAAATGTTTGATAAAAACAATAGACATTTTAACCCTTGACAGCTTGGACAAAAAATAATGTATATAGTAATGCACTATACAATGTATAACTACACAACCAAATCAAGCTGTTAAAATTAATTACCTTCACCCATGAGTCTCTTGATCTCTCCCTCAGTGTCAATTTCACCATCAGATGATGCACTGTGAGCTGAGCAAAAAGGCAATAAATAAATAACAAGTTACAAAAAAAAAAACAGTGGTATGTTATTTTAAAATTAACCTTGCTACTTAAAGGAATGGTTCACCCAACAATGAAAATCACTTGCTCACCAATGGATTCTCTGCAGTGAATGGGTGCTGTCAGAATGAGAGTTCAAACTACTGATATAAACATAATGGTCCACATGACTCCAGTCCATCAATTAATGTCTTGTGAAGTAAAAAGCTGTGTGATTGTAAGAAACAAATCCGTCATTAAGACTTTTTAACTTCGGTCACTTCTGTCCAAAATACCAGTCCATAATAGTGCTATATAATAATTATTCGGTGAAAAGTCCATCCTCTGTTGTCCTCTCATATCAAAATCCACCAGTTTAGAACTGTTTTGGACTGATTTCAGTTGCAAATGGTGGATATTTCTGAGCATATTTCTCTCCTGATTCAGACAAGACAACTTTTTCCACTAGAGAAAGTATGGACAGAGATTTAATGATGAATTTGTTTATTACAAACATTCAGCTTTTCACTTCACAAGTCGTGAATTAATAGACTGGAGTCGTGTGGATTATTTTTGGATTTCTTTTGTGATGTTTTTATCACAAAACTGTTTTTATTCTCACTCTGATGGCACCCATTTATGTGTAGAATATCCTTTGTGGAGCAAGTGATCTAATGCTACATTTCTCCAAATTTGTTGCAATGAAGCAACACCCTCAGGCCATCCATGAAGTGAATGAGTTTGAATAAATTTTCAGCCAATTTTCATATTTGAGTGAACTTTTCCTTTCATTTAATCAAGTTGGTATACAAACTTTCAGTGAGCCTTGTGATCTTTGTAACGGATGGCTTCCCTTCAACAACTTTGGTGATGCCTGGATCTCCACCAATCACTTGTGTAACTTTGGTGATGCTCGGATCTCCACCAATCACTCGCGTAACTTTGGTGACGCTTGGATCTCTTTCAGTCACTTGTGTAACTTTGGTGACACTCGGATCTCCACCAATCACTCGTGTAACTTTGGTGACGCTTGGATCTCTTTCAGTCACTTGTGTAACTTTGGTGACACTCGGATCTCCACCAATCACTCGTGTAACTTTGGTGACGCTTGGATCTCTTTCAGTCACTTGTGTAACTTTGGTGACACTCGGATCTCCACCAATCACTCGTGTAACTTTGGTGACGCTTGGATCTCTTTCAGTCACTTGTGTAACTTTGGTGACACTCGGATCTCCACCAATCACTCGTGTAACTTTGGTGACGCTTGGATCTCTTTCAGTCACTTGTGTAACTTTGGTGACACTCGGATCTCCACCAATCACTCGTGTAACTTTGGTGACGCTTGGATCTCTTTCAGTCACTTGTGTAACTTTGGTGACACTCGGATCTCCACCAATCACTCGCGTAACTTTGGTGACGCTTGGATCTCTTTCAGTCACTTGTGTAACTTTGGTGACACTCAGATCTCCACCAATCACGCGTGTAACTTTGGTGATGCTTGGTTCTCCAATCACCACCTTGACCTCGGGACCTGAGGGAAAGGTAAAGATCCCGTCAGGAGGCATGTCAAGACCATGACATTTCCAATAATCAGTATTTGTGAGAAATAAATTATTTAGAGACATTTTTCTTTTCTTGGCATAAAGTATGGCTGTCTTTTTAGGTACTATTATGCTGATTAAATTAAAGTTAGTTTTACTTCCAATGTTTTTGAATGTCCACTATGCCATTTCTCCTTGCTGCTTTTACTGATATGAATCACAAGTAAATGATCAAAGATGAGAATGGGAGTCTAAACCAATCATTAATAGTCACTGGTGCTGTCAGAACTGTTAATGAACACCAGGCCGGCCTTTCTTTCTAGACACTGCAACGGGGGTCACGTTTCATGCTACTGCTGGATTCATAAACATAAACGAGTATATTCTGCCAAAGATGAGCTAAGACAACTGGCTGCGGATCAGGATCGTGAGGTTTTTGATTGCAGGCTCAGCTCAAAAGGTACTTTGTGTTTTATGATGGAATTCAAACACAGTGTGAACACAATGTATATAAGAAACAACTGTACAAAATAAAAGATTACATTACAGACAATAACCCAAACTAGGGATCGAAGAAGTAGGTAACTGCAATTGAATCATTTTTGTTTAGTTCATAGGTACTGATAATGCTAATAATTAAAACAGTTGAGCTATTTTTTTGTGGAAACTGATTTTTTGGGGGGATTCTTTGATATAGACAGAAATTTTGAAAGAGCAGCATATATCTGAAATAGTAATCTTTTCTAACATTATTAATGTCATTGCTGTCTTTTTTAAAATCATTTTAATGTGTACCTGCAGAATATTAAGAATTAATTTCTTTAAAAAAAATATCCCCAAACTTCTGAATGGTTATAATCAGTGGTGGAAAGAGTACTGAAAAAATATACTCAAGTAAAAGTACCATTACCTTCCAAAAAATGTAGTGTGAGTAGAGTAAAAGTACTTGTCCAAAAAACTACTTGAGTAAGAGTAAAAGAGTAGCCTATTTAAAAGTACTCATGAGTATTGAGTAGTGAGTACTGAGCTGTGGATTCTACCCCCTCATAATAAACGCTGTACACCGCAATTGATACATTTTAAAAACGTTGTACATTCTGTAATTCACATGATCTTGTTTGTCATAAAGAATAAAGAATATCTATTATCCAGCTGTTTTAATTTTGACTGCCAACTCTTTAAAATACATCAAAACAGCACGGAAACAGTATTCAGTTGAAGATTTATTTAAAGTTATTCTCAATACAATCATCCACATTTAAATCATAAAGTTTGAAAAAAAAAAATTTTCTGAAAGTAATATTCAGATGCAACGGGGGAAAAAACGGAATAAAAAAACATGAAACTTGTAAATAAAATAATCTGATATATAGCCTATGTACTATTTAATAACATATAGCCTAGTTTGATATATGAATTGGGTGTTCGTCAAAGATTGCATGCGGTCGGAGATTCCCGTGTTTACAGCTCCATAAAATAACCTACTGGAAGCTCTGTAGTTTTGCTGTATAGGCCTATAGATAAAAATATTAAAATTACAAACAATAACATTTTAAGTAGGGATGCACCGATATCACTTTTTCCAGTACTCGCCCGATACCGATACTTTTATTTTTGGTACTTGCCGATACCGAGTACCGATACCAATATTTTTATTGCATTTGTA